GAAATGTTCAGTCTTTTATGCATTATTGTGGAACGTGTGGAACAAAATATGAGCACAGGAACATGGGCTTCTGGCGGAGTACAGTCTTAGCCTCTATCAGGCTTCGCGATCGGGAAGCGACTGGAAAGAGTAGAAATTGGACAAATAGACAGATGATATACCAGGTAAGTTTGTCCGCGCTAAGAGCCGCTCCCGAAATTGCTGTACTCTTTAGCGGCAGCGGCAAACTGTTCTCTTAGCACGGACCAACTCCCCTATATCATCTGTACATTTGGCCAATTATATATATATCTACTTCTTCCAGCCAAAGCCGAAGCCTGCTGGTATAGGCTACAACAGCCTCCCATTGCGCGCATGCGGTAGTTATGCAAATACTTATAAGTGAGAACACGATGCCTGATCAATCCTGAAATTAGCCTCTACCAGGCTTCGGGAGGCGGCTGAAAGAGTAGAAATTGGCCAAAAAGAGAGATAACATGCGGCAAAATGTACTCTAGCGGACCAACTCCCTCGGCATGTTATCTCTCTATTTGACCGATTTCTACTCTTCCAGCCGCCTCCCGAAGCCTGGTAGAGGCTATCCTGAAATAACTCTTGTCCAGTCGCCCTGACTTCCCGTGCGTATGGGTTGCCCTGGATAAAGATGGCTAGAAGAAAACCTCAATAGCCTCTCAGTCTCTGTCCTATAAACAAAGCATAAGGTGTCCAAGTTACTCGCAAAGCGCGACGTTTCGCTAGCGTTAGATGTCCGTAGATGTAAATAGAACACACAGTCCCACCAAAGCCGCTCTGTTGTTTGAGCAACAAGCCGACATCACGCTCGACGTGGCGTGCACGCCGACCTACCCCAACCTCTCCCGGGCTTTTGTCGGGCCTCGGGTCGCCTTACGTGACGGTATCCCGCCGGAATTCTGCTTTGTTCCGGGGAAGATCCCTGTGACAGCACCCCTAATAGCCTTGTATCCAGTCTTATAGTCTCCACCAGGCTAACTACGCTGGCTATACATTGTATATAGGAGAATAATTGCCAGGGGAGTTTGGCCGACTGGTAGGTTTGACAGGCCGCGCAGTTAGGAAAGAAACTACCTCCCCGCGGCCGGACTCCCTTGGTCAATTTTACTCTCTTTTTTCCCGAATTCTTCGATCCGTATTCCCGTAGAAAGGCCTGTTGGAGGCTACCTGTCTTGCGTGGTAGGGGCCGGTTCTCCTCGGGGCTGCGGGAGCTCTTTCCCGCCCGCCTGAGCTAGGTTTCCCGGTGGATATTTCACGAGAGATTGATTAGCCCTACCACGTTGGGGGCAAATAAAATCCCCAAGCATGCTATCTCTATTACCGTAACGGGTCGGCCTGTTGATCTGGACGGGGGGAAGCTAGTCGGGCCCCCGAAGATCAAGACACAGCCTGCCTGAACACTACTCTCCAAGCAGAGGTTTGGGGTTTGGATTTTTTTAGCGTGTTTTTAGGCTTTTTTATCGGGGTTTCTCTTTTGCACTGAATTTTTTTTCCCACTTTTGGGTTTGGTGAGAAAAACATTCAGTGCAAAAGAGAAACCCCGATAAAAAAAGCCTAAAAACACGCTAAAAAAACCCCAAAACCCAAACCTCTGCTTGGAGAGTACCTGAACACCCCATGCAACAGCCCCAATTACGTAAGACTGGATACCAGGCTACACCCTAAGCGACTTGTGGCGGGGACACGCTCGCCCGCCTCTGTGTAAGCTCACACAGTCACGCCACAGGTGATTTGTGAAAACTAAACAATTTAAAACCCCTGAGACGTTCACTTAAGGTGTTTAATAGCTTTCAGACTTGCGTCAGCACTTAGTTGTTAGAATGAATGAATAGCGCTCTTTACAAGCAGGAACTCAGTGAAAACATCGTGTATGCAATGGAATTAGATATAATCAATTACATAATATTGTTTCTTTCGAAGATCGCATACGCACCTTTAAAGGGTTGCAGAGGGGACATCATATATATAATCTTAAAACAATGACCAACAAGAATTCAGAGGTCTCATACCTCCATGGAATATTCTTCAGAGCTTTCGTTAATGTTTTTGGCGACGCCTCTGGAGTATAGCCTTTTAGCATGTTATGTGACCTTTCGGAAAAAGTCTAGGAATTTGCTCTGGTCAGAGTACGGTCATGCCAGGTAGTTACGTTTCTAGGTTTTTTTTCACGATAACTCAAGAAGCCATGGATGGTTTTCATGGAACTTGGTAGCTGTGTAGGTCTTGATGAGACCTCAGGATGATTAATTTTTTTTAGTTCCCTATAGGCCTGTTATGAGAAAATGGGCTCCTTAGTGGATTGTTTTTCCTGGGACTAAAATAGTTTAATGAAGAGTGAAAAGTCTAATGGAGCCTAAGTACAAATAACAAACATGTACAATCGATTGTGTTCTTGTTTTTGTAACGGAAAATACAATTCAAGTTTAGGAAACCGAGAACCATCGGAATTGAATTGTTGACAGTGAAAGGATGTGTTAGTCTCAGATTGCAAAAATATGTATGTGAATCATGAATTTTCGTCTCTGCTTTATTCTTGTTTGGTTTTTGTTACTATGACAATCAGACCACACACTAACACGTGCCCTCAGGAGACACCGGTTCAACTGGTGATTAACGTATTAACAGCACAAGTGGTCAATAACGTGGAATAACACCTCGCTAATAACTCATAATACCTCTGTTACTCCGTCATTTTCCCTGCAGATTCACCATGATAAAACTAGGTTTCTCCATCCGAAGGGTCCGCCAGAAGCCGTTGAACTGGTGATTAACAGATTGATAGCACAGGTGGTCAATAACCTGCGGAATAACACCTCACTAATACGTCATAATTCCTCTGTCACTTCCGTGTCGTTACTTCCGCAGATTCGCCATGATAAAACCTGGTTTCCCCGCCCGAAGGGTCCGGCAGAAAGCGGAGCTGTGCGGAGAAGCCGGGCGGCGACCGACTCACCATGGCGGGCGGACCACCACACTTCCCCTGCGGCTGTCGCGTCGCTCTATGTCTATGTCTACTCCACATACAGCTTCTCGGTAAGTGTATCTGTATCTGTATAGCCGGTATAGCCGGAATAACCGTCCTTCGGTGTAACACACCAGCTTCGCAGGCACTCGGCGTGGCGGCAGCTGGCTACAATACACTGAACGACTTGTTACACATAACCCTTGAACATCGCCTTGCTGATATCTAACCCTAACGTGCACATGATCATCTATTTTCGTTGGCTGCAAAGGCAGTTACCATTTGCCAGTCCAAGGCCGGTGAAAAAAAGACACCATTACAAAAAAGAAAGCATGCCGAAAATAAGCCGAAGCTTACGCCACTGCTTGGATAGTTAGTAATTATGGCTTCACCACAAAGTGGTGAAGACATATTGTGTTCCCTCATGTTTCTTCTCCTTCTCCTCCTTCTCCTCCTGCCATTTCTTTAAATGGATTCATCTCTGCCATTTTCTGGCCCAATAACACGAAATTTGGCATGAAGGTAGAGTGGGCAAATACCCTGACGCGTTTTTTTCATTTTTTTGAAAAATTGTTTTATTTGGGTTTTTTGGCCATTTTCAGGCAAAAAATATACATTTTGAGATCTGGTTCCCAGGTACTAAAACCAAATTACCTGAAATTTGGTATGGGGATACCTTGGACATATGTCTACAAAAAGTCATTCAAGCTTTTGACATACACCACTTTATAATTGGGAAAAATAAGGCTTTTTGGCTATTTTCGGACCAAAAATGTACATTTTTGGCTCCTGTGCCATAATATTAAATCTGAATGACCTGAAATTCGGTATGGGGATACCTTGGACACATGTCCAAAGAATGCCATTCACGATTTTGACATATACCACTTTAAAATTATGTAAAATAGGGCTTTTTTGCTATTTTCGGACCAAAAATGTACATTTTTGGCTCCTGTGCCCTAATATTAAATCCGAATGACCTGAAATTTGGTATGGGGATACCTTGGACACATGTCCAAAGAATGTCATTCTCGATTTTGACATACACCACTTTAAAGTTATGTAAAATAGGGCTTTTTTGGCTATTTCCGGCATTGGAAGGTTCCATTGCTGCATGGGGGTGTAGACTATTGGCAGCCATCGTAGGATAGATCCATTTTCGGTATGGGGGATGTGGTGAAGCCATCTGCTGCATTTGCTCTCAAGCAAATGTCGGCCTTTCTAGTTGAAGATTGTATTTCTATTATCATTAAACAATGAAAGTTTGTTTTGTCACACGCATGGTACGCCATGGTACAGTCACGGGTTTAAGACCTGGTTTTCACAATTGTGCCGCTGTCCCCAGTG